GAGAGAGAGAGAAAAAAATAGATGTGAGAGAGATACATTGATTGGTTGCCTCCCCCACAACCCTGCCCTGGCAGGGGATTGAATCTGCAACCCAGGTACCTGCCCTTGACTGAGAATTGAACCTGTGACCCTTTAGATCCTCAGGCCGATGCTCTAACTGCTGAGCCAAACTGGCCAGGGCTCTTAGTTTTGTTTTGATTTTAGATTCCATATAAGTGAAACCATACAGTATTTGTCTTTCTCTGCCAGTTTATTTCACTTAGCATAATATCCTCTAGATCCCTCCATGTTGTCACAAATGGTAAGATTTTATTCTTTTTTATTAAAGTGTAATATTCCGTTGTGCATATATACCATATTTTCTTGATCCATTTATCTATTGACAGACACCTAGGTTGCTTCCATATCTTGGCTATTGTAAATTTTGCTCAACTCAAACAACAAATATACAACTCAACAACAACAAAAATAAACACTCTGATCAAAAAATGGTCAGAGGACATGAAAGGACATTTCTCCAAAGAAGATATACAGATGACCAAGAGACATATGAAAAGATAACATTTTATTTAATATTTTTTTACCTGTGTTCATTAGTGAGCTTTGATTATGATTTTACTTTCTAATTATGTCTTTGATTGGTGGTTTTATCAGGGTTAAGCTAGACACATAAAATAAGCTGATGAGTGTACCTATTTTTTATCTTCTCTGGAAGAGTTCTTGTAAGATTTGAATTATTTCTTTCTTAAATATACTTTGGAACTTGCTATTAAAACCAACTGGGGCTGGAGCTTTCTTTGTGGGAAGGTTTTATGATTCATTTTCTTTCAAGTTTATAATTCTAATCAGGTTTTATATTTTTTCATGAGCAAAATTGTTTTTCCATAGCCATCTAGTTTCCCTATCCAGAGACACTATTATTCGTTTTTTGTATATATTTCCACAGATATTTAACCTGACCCTGAAGATAAATAGTTGTATACTGTCCTGCCAGTGTTCTCTACCCCTTTATATATATATATAAATAACTGTACCATTCTTTCTGGCAGCCAGATAGTATTTCATTGAATTGATATGCTAAACTAACTAACCTGTCTCTTACTGATAGGCATTTATAGTGCTTTTATTTTTTTTCCTATTACAATCAGGGAATTGCTTCTAGCACACACATATTCAGACATGTGTGCAAGTATCTGTATAGAATCAAGTCCCCAAAATGGAATTCTTGAGTCAAGTTATGTCCATTTAAAGATTTGATAGATATTACCAAATTGCCCTCCAGAGACGGTGTACCAATTTATTCTTCTACCACTAATGTGTGAAAGTGCCTGCTTTCCCAAGTTCTTGACTCTGTAACGTAGTGTCAAATGCTTTTCTTTGCCAGTGTGAAAATGAAAGCTATATTTGATTTTAGTTTTAATTTTGATTTTTCTTATAAAGAGACTGAGTATATTTTCATATATATATAAGATGCCTGTATTTTCTTCTTTATTAACTGTCTTCATATCTTTTGCTCATTTTTCTATTGTCATTGATCTATTTGCATTTTGATTTTTAACATTGAAGAAATAAGCCTTCAGATGATTCTAGCTGAGACCCCAGACATTGTGGGGCAGAGGCCATTCTGGCTGTGCCACACCAGCCAGGGCCTGACATCATAATTTTAAAGGTGCTTTTTTTAGAGTTGGCATCAGTTGAACTTTTTTTTTTCTCATTAGGCTTTTCCTACCTTTAAGTAATGAATGAATTGTAAATAAGAGAGCACATTTAGAAAGCAAACAATAATTTGTATTTGAGAAAGCTCCAATGTATGTTTTATAGATTCAGTTGTTATTAATAGCTTTCTGAGGGTGGGGGGAAAAAAGAGCAGTTTGTGAAGTAAAAATTGTTCATGTAGATACACAATTGGTGGTTTTTCTCAGCCATCATGGATACCTTAACTAGTTTTTACCATCAAATAAGTAGTAATTCTTACTTAAAATCTCCAAACAGTACCAAGACTGTACTACCTCAGACCTCACCCCTGATTGCCCTATCAGAGGTAAATCACTATTTTTAGTCTCTTATATTTGTACAGAATATTTCTGGAATGGTATATAAATATACACATACCTCTTTTTATACAAATCAGTATACTATTCTGCTCTCCTTTTCATTTAGTACATCTAGGTTCTATGTGGAAATAGTAATTAAAAAATCATTTTTATAGTTTTATAGACTTCATATATTATTATAGTTTATAAAATCATAGTTATTTGAATATTTTAACAAAATACAAAGTAATTTCATCATCTAAATGGAAAATACATGATAATCATGGCTACATAGATAGCCGCTTAGTTATATTTTTAAATGTTTGAAACATCAACATCTGATTAAATGTCTAGTTATGAAATAGTGGATAAATCTGAGTTTAAAGTAGGTTGCAAATGCCTGTGACCATAATTGCTTTGTTCTTTTTACCATAAAAATTTACTTACATTTGATGCATCATAAATCTTTATTCATATTTATTTTTCTCTAACTTATAGACAATTTTAGAACCAGGAATTACAGTTAGTACTGGTTGTAATGTTTATAACAGAGAATGGAATTTTTAGACCCTACTCTAGTAGCTATTCAGTTAAACATTAGAAGTATACCCAGAAACTTAATGGCATTCATATCTGGTGGGTCCTGTTTCAAAGATTTTTGTTTATTTATTTGAGACAGAGAGAGAGAGAGAGAGAGAGAGAGAGAGAGAGAGAGAGAGAGAGATGGATTTACTGTTCCACTTATTTCTGCATTCATTGGTTGCTTCCTGTATGTGCCCTGACTGGGTGCCAAACCTACAACCTTATCCGAATGATACTGTAACCAACTGAGCTACCCAGGACTGGTGGATCATTTTTATATTTATATAGGTGTAATAAAAGGGAATATCATTTTGCTCCAAAGCTGGAGTTATTTTTAAGTAGAAGCATTATTAAACTACCCTACATAACTATTTTGTTTGTAGTGAGATGATACAGCCTTTAGAGCCAGAACAACCTGGATTCAAGTCCTGCCTAAACCTCCAATATTAGCTTACTGTTACTAGGTTCCCTCTCTAAATTTTCATTTCTTTATCAATACAATGGCAATAATACTACCAGTAAGATGATGCAATGAATATTCTTGTATGAATAAATCCTTTTGTTCAGTTGATGATATTGCTATGGACAGAGACATCTGTAGACCAAAGGCATGTGCAGTTTAACTTGCTAGTTGCTACAAAAGCAATCTAAAAAGACTATCCTAATTCCAGTGCTGCTACTAGTATATTACATTGCCATGTACTCTATACAGTACTGATGTTTTTCAGTCTTTTCAGTTTTTGCTGTTCTTATGCTCATTTGTAAAGTTAATCCTCTCCAAGTCTCTCTTTGACCTCTGTATCAATCTGGTGGTGTCTTAGACATGAGAAGAATATGATAGTAGCCCAGATAATCTTATTATTTGAATTTTTCTCTTACTCTTAATAGCTATTCATATTTTCATGTAGTTTACATATTTGTTATCGTTCATCATTTATAAAATGGAGACTCCTTGAGTCTAGGTGATATATAAATATATACTTATAAATATGAGCCCTGGCCAGTTTGGCTCAGCAGTTAGAGCATTGACCTGCGGTCCAGAGAGACCTGGGTTCGGTTCCCACTAAATATATATTTATAAATATGTATATATTTAAACAACCATCAATTTTAAGCAAATTATAACTTCAGTTCATCATAATCTCATGGTATCTCATTAGCTTGTGGCATGCACTCTGGTTACTTTAATTTCTACTGTAAGCAGAAAACCTTTTTGTTTAAATTGGATGTTAATGTTCTTATTTCTTTACAAGTACAAATATGCTCTAATATTTAGCACTTTCCAGGTGCCTTGGTTTATCATTCTGAATTTTCATTATCATTTTATAGACTATAGAGTTAGAAGATCTAAGCAGATATTATAGTTTACCTTATTTTCTTACTATTTGACTCTATAAAGAAAATAGAAAATTTCAGTTAAATTTTGTTCTTATAATTGCATTTCATTGGAAAATTTCTAGTTTTTTTGTAAAGTACTATTTTTAGTCACAGACATCCTTGAGATTTATGAAAATAAGTTAAAGTATGTGCTAATGAAATAAAGAATCCTAAAATGTAGTTGAAGGCATCTTCTATCTCATAAACCAGGTTTGTACTGAATTTTCATAGTTATTCTTAACTAAGTCCACATTTAACACCTAAGATCTTTTTATGGTCAACTCTTACTATAGATAAAATAGAATAATTTTCTGTGACTTTAAAGAACAGTAGGCTTCTCTGGTTTTTTGAATTGTAGCGGTTTAGGCAGGTGTAATTGGTAGGCATGTTTGATGGCATGTATCTACTAGCTTCTATATTTCTTTTAAAATTTAATATAGACTCTAAATGATATCATTTTTGGCTAAGTGGTTTATTTTGGATCTGTAGATTTTAAGTTTATCAATAAGTTTAAAAAACATTATTGAACATGTTATAAAAAATACTGTGATAATTAGAGATACTGTAAATCACCCTTAATAGGGTCTGGCTCCCTTGGGGACTCAGTAAATGACAGGTATTATTTTATTATACATACTAATATTAAGTAGCACTATGGAATTTTTTTTTAAATCCTCACCTGAGGATATTTTTCCATTAATTTTCAAACAGAGTGGGAGGTGGGGGGAGGGGGGAGAGAGAAAGAGAAAGAGGGGGGGGATGTGAGAGAGACACATTGACTGGTTGCCCCCTGCATGACCCCAGCCAGGGCTGGGGACCCAACCACAACCGAAGTATGTACCCTTGACCGGAATTGAACCCAAGACTCTTTTGGTCCATGGGCTGATGCTCTAACCACTGAGCAAACCAGCCAGGGCAGCACTATGAAATTTATTGGCTCCTCAGAAAGGCTTCAAATTAGGACTCTGCTTGTGATACTGATTAAGTTTTAATACTTCTGTTTTATAGAATCCCAAAACAAAAGAGCAAATTGAAAATCTGTTACGAAATGGAATGAACAAGGAACTGCGGGATCGTCTTTGTTGCCGAATGACTTTTGGGACTGCAGGACTTCGTTCTGCTATGGGAGCAGGATTTTGTTATATTAATGACCTTACAGTAATACAATCAACACAGGTAAGTATTATAAAGCATTATATGTACACTTTTTATCACTCTGATTTTTTTGCCTTATAAATTAGGTACTGTCTTTAACAATAAAAATAAGACCTTACTATCCAGGAGGATACATTTTTATAGGTAAAAATGTAGAATAGCCCTGGCTGGTTTGGCTCAACAGTTAGAGCATCAGCCCTCGGACCAATGACTCATGGGTTCGATTCCGGTCAAGGGCACATGTCTTGATTGCAGTTCATCCCTGGCCCTGGTCGGGGTTGTGTAGTAGGCAAGCATTTGATGTGTCTCTCTCATATTGATGTTTCTCTCTCTCTTCCTCCCCCTCTCCCTCTCGCTCTGTCTGAAGATAAATATAAAAATGTCCTCTGGTGAGGATAAAAAAAAAGTTATTTTGATTGCCATTGTCCACTTCTTGACAGTGTTATTTTGTCTTTGAAACCCTGGAAATGAATATTGACATTTCCAGTTAGTACAAAGAAACAATTTTTTTTTTTTTTTTTTTTGTACGTGCCCCTAGTAGGAACCAAACCCGGGACTCTCTGGTCCGCAGGCTGATGATGCTCCAACTGCTAAGCCAAACCAGCCAGGGCAAGAAACAAACTTTGATTACCCATTTTGGCATATGGCCATTGATAAACATTAACCAGAGTATCTGGAAAATTTAGTTGAAAATATTTCCCTCTTCCCTGGCCGGTTTGACTCAGCGGTTAGAGTGTCGGCCTGCGGTCTAGGGAGACCCAGGTTCGGTTCCCGCTAAGGGCATGTACCTCGGTTGCAGTTTGTCCCCGGCCCTGGTTGGGTCATGCTAGTGGTGACCACTCTATGTGTCCCTTTCACGTCGATATTTCTTTCTCTCCCTCTCCCTCCCATTCTATCTGAACAAAAAACAAAAAACAAAATGTCCTCAGGTGAGGATAAAAAATAAAAAAAAAGAAAATATTTCCCTTTAACATGGTTCTCCACATTCATTTGAGAGTTCTTTAAGATAGTGTATGACATGATACCGTTTATTTTGTTTCTCCCCATATTATGCAACTCATTTTGGAAACAAATTACTTTTCTTTCCAGTGAATCATCCTCACTGCTTCAAGGAACTATACTTTGCTTGAAGGCCAAAGCACATTTAGCATATAGTAAAAATAGTTCTGGACTAGAGAAATGTTCAGTAGTCATAATTCTAATCAATACTGCCAAAAAGTAAATCATCTTTAGCCTTGTTCTGAGGGAATTTTCTAAAGTCAAGGGCTATTGTAGGGTATGGGGAGGAAGGGATGACAAGATGACTGAATAGTAGAATAAATACCACTTCCCCGCCCCATCTCCTCATCCGAAGATGCTTCAGTTCAATCTTTTTTATATGTTGGGTTTCCTCATAAGCTTTCACTTTAAACAAAGATTCCTTGACTTTACAAAATGGGATGGAAGAAGCTGTTTGAAAATCAATTTTTATACAAGTGCAGATTTTTACAGGGGTTCAGTGTGAAGTAGAAAAGCCAGATGGAATCTGATTCTTCAGCCTTAGCCCTTTCCAGAATCTAGGTATAGGGGCAACCTGGGCATGTGCCCTGACCGGGAATCAAACTGGGATCTCTTAGTCCATAGGATGATGCTCAATCCACTGAGCCACATCAACTGGGCTGTGAAAGTAGTTTTAAAGGACTGTAACAATATGAAGTGGTATTTTTAGAAATGAAAGTGTCAAAGTTAGCAAATCATAAGATAGTTAAATGGTTTTAGCTAGTGTCATGATGTTTTCAATATGAAATGCTTCATTTTATTTTATTTTTTTATCCTTGACTGTTAATATTTCTAGTTTATGGGATTTTCTTTTCTGTGAGATTTTATTTTTATTTTATTTTATTTTATCCTCACCGGAGGACATTTTTGCATTTATCTTCAGAAAGAGTGGGAGGGAGAGAGGGAGGAAGAGAGACAGAACAAAGTGAGAGAGACACATTGAGTGGTTGCCACACACACAAAACCCCAACCAGGGCCAGGGACAAACTACAACCGAGTTACTTGCCCTTACTTGCCCTTAGTGGGAACCAAACCTGGGTCTCTCTGGTCCACGGGCCCACGCTCTAACTGCTGTGCTAAACGGGCCAGGGCTTTTCTGTGAGATTTTAAAACCAAGGAATTACAAATGGGTTAAGTCATAGTAAGAAATATTCTAATGAAGGTTTATGTTGCTGATTTAAAATGTTTGTGTTATAAATAGGTGAAATCTTTTGGTTAGCTTTCATCTTATGATTTAGCAAGGCCTAAATGGTCAAAATTCTGTTCTCTAGAACCTTAAGGCAAGAAATAATTGGTTTTGGTTCTCCTAACAATTTTTTTTTTTTTTCGGCATACTGACTCTCATGTCCCATCTTTTTTTTTTCCTCATATTTTATGTAAAATATTAGGTTTAATAGTTACTTAATTGATATTCCTGTTGTATCAAACGTGTCTGAAACTCCAGGAAATAAATGTTTGTCACCTCACCTTTGAGGATTGAGCAGTATTCTTCCCACACTGATAAACATGGCCATAAAGGCAGAAGCCAGATCTCTAGGAGCCAGGAAACGGCACACTACACATAAAAATAATAGATTTTGCCCGGACAGTGTGGCTTAGTGGTTGAGTGTCGATTCATGCACCAAGAGGTTGCCAGTTCAATTCCTGGTCAGGGCACACGCCTCGGTTATGGGCCCGACCCCCAGTTGGGGGCAGGCAGGAGGCAACCAGTCAATGTTCTCTCTCATCAATGTTTCTATCTTTCCCTCTCCCTTCCTCTTTCTCTAAAATTAATAAAGAAAAAAAACATTAAAAAAAAAAAAAGGTTTTAATCCCTAGGCAAATGCATACATTAGTAAGGAGCTAATGTTTTGTATTTATGTGCTTCAGGGGATGTACACATACCTGCAGAGATGTTTCTCAGACTTCAAGCAGAGAGGCTTTGTCGTTGGATATGATACCCGGGGGCAAGTAACTAGCAGCTGCAGCAGCCAGAGGTAGTGTTAATTGTTTCAGAGATTAAGATGGACTGGAAAAATACTTTTATTTGTTTCCCCTAGTAGGAGGATATTTGAACCAGGAAACTGTCAAATAGAAGTGTAATCACATGCCAATATTTATTTTAGACCTGAAATAGAAGCATTCCAAAGATAAACTTTAGCTTTTACAAAAAGAAGTAAATTTTAAAAATATTTAGAGTTAGTATTTAGAATGACATCATGGCTTATTTTATAACTTTAGATTTGACAAAGACACTGGGTAGGAGTAATGATGTAGCTTCTATTTTCTCATTATAGTCTCACTTGATTAGTTTTAGGGTAGTTATACACATAGATAATCATGATATACTGATAACTTTTTAAAGGGGGATAATTATGTATATTGTGTTTTTTTAAATCTCTTATTTCACTTTCTCCATTATTTTTGCCTTTTTTGGAATTTAATTTCTTGGTAAAAGAGCCATTAAAAGATAAATGAGGAAAAAAGAAGAAATTAAAATGTCAATTCTCTTTATTGTTAAGCTCCTTTTAAAAATCTCACTTATGTAACATTTTTATGTTAGAGCATGAAACTTAAATAACCAGTGATTATAGGAATTGGTTGTATTAGGATATTATATATTCAGAATAATTGTAACATGAAATATTTATTATGGAAGGTTGGATTTTAAAAAGTATAGTAAGACTAAGTGAAATCTTTTTCTTTTTCTTTTTTTAGGCTTGCTAAACTCACTGCTGCAGTCTTACTGGCCAAGGATGTTCCTGTGTACCTTTTTTCAAGATATGTTCCTACACCTTTTGTAGTAAGTATGTTGTGTTATTGATCTTACTTTGCTGCTCTTGAAAACATTTCTTAAGTCAACCAGGATTCAAATATTTGTCCTGCATATAGTTCTCTATCAAGTGATATGAAGTGCCAAAGGAAGAACAAAAAAAAACAAAACAAATGTTGCTCTGAATTTATTTTGATTCAACAAGCATGTGTTGAACCACCCAAGAATTTGATCAGTAACAAGTTGACAAATCCAGTCATGGTGGGATATTTCAATACTATTCGTTCAGAAACTGATTTATGAAGCAGGCAAAAACAATTAAGGATAGATTTGAACACGTTGTTAGCATGTTTGATCTGTGTGTGTGTGTGTGTGTAAACCCTGTATTTAGTGATGGTAGGATATCATTTTTATCAAGCAGGGTCACATAGGAAATTTCAACAAATGCCAGAGAACTGCTTATCAAGTTGTAGTCCTAGACCCCAATACGATAAGATTCAAAATAAAGAAACCCATTGTTAGAATTTTAAGAACACTTTTATAAGTAACTTATGGATTAAGGAAGATATCATAGTGAAGAAACTATAGAAACTATAGGCTGTTTTTGTTTTGCATAGTAGTGCAGAAGTATACAGCCATGCAAATAGAGCTTAATAATCAATGGGGAAAATTGTTCTGTAACCTTTAAAAATTTTTGTCAAAGCATAAAAACACTTGTAATGCTTACTATTGGTTAAAAATGTATAGGGAAAAGAAAAAAATAGTAAAACTAATATTTATTTAGTACACTATAACTTAAAACATTAAGGACTAAAGTGTTTTATTTTTTTATAAAATAATTTATCAAGAGTATGTATGAACAGTGCTTGCTATCTCTTAACAGTATGATGAGCATCTTTTCTATGCCTTAGCAAATTATTAGAATCCTAAGTTTGGATCATTTTTCCACATTTTATCCTTGGTACTTTCTTATTTTTGTTTTTTAAATCCTCACCCGAGGATATTTTTCCATTTATCTTCAGACGGGGAGGGAGAGAGAGAGGAGAGAAACATCGAGGCAAGAGACACATCAATTGGTTGCCTCCTGCATGACCCCAGTCAAGGACAGGGACCAAACCTCAACCGAGGTACATGCCCTTGTCCGGAATTGAACTCGTGACTCTTTGGTCCGAGGACTGACGCTCCAACTGCTGAGCCAAACCAGCCAGGGCTATCCTTGGTACTTTGAATATTGTGAACTATCTCTAAGAATTCCTCCCCCTCTTTGTCTCAATTCCTCTGAGGCATCTTCATCTTTTTCATCACAACTATATCCCTTACCTATATCTATTCATTTGCCTTCACTAAACTTGTCTGGTTGCAGATCTAGAGTCTCTTGAATTCGACAGCAGTTTCAGCATTCCCAGTTATTTTTTTCTGTTACTCCATTTATATTTGATTCCAATTCATTTCCACCATTATCATCTTTTGTGTTTTTGCTGCATTTTCATCTTTGTTGGCCAGTTTTTTCTTTTAATTATCCATTTTTGCAAGCTGTCATGTGGGTTTTACCACTGGGAAATAAGGAGGCAACACAACTACATGTTTTGCTGTCTGTGCGAGAGCTGAATGACAGATGCACAGTGACCAATCACTGACAGACCTTAACAGAGTGACATGATTGGTGACTGATTATGATGGATTTCATCTACATAGCATTTTGGACTGAAGAGCTAGCAGCCAAGTTTGTACTTGATACCAGTTACTCACAGTTAATATAATGTGGTAACTGAAATTTAAACATGTTTTTGGAAGACTGGTATTAAGTAAAATATGGTGTCAGAAATGTATATATATTGGAACTGTGCACAGTAAGGACTGCTTGTATTTAAAACTGACCAAAAATAGCAAAAATGATGGGCTATAAGTAAAGTCCTACTTAAAGGGAAATTTACAGTCCATGAATAAATAAGGGAAAAAAGATGAAAAAATGATGAGCTAAGCCTTTAACTTAGTGTGTTAGAATGAAAACAGAATAAATCCAAATAAACTAAAAGGAAGGAAATAATAAAGATATGAGGAAAAATCAATTACATAGAAAATAAAGAAAAGAGGACATCAACAAAAGCATAAATTGGCTCTTTGAAGAGACTGATAAAATAGACAAACCTTTTAGAAAGAGTGCTCAAGAAAAAGTAAAGACACAAATAAATAAATTTAATAGGTGCATAATAAATACAGTAGAGATTAAGATAACTACAGTATTCTGAACAACATGATGCAAATAAATGTGAAAGCTTAGATGAATTAGCCAATTTCCTAGAGTAATTGATACATCAAAACTAATAAGAAATAAAAAACCTGAATAGGCCTATAACCACTAAAAAAGTTGAACTGACATATTTTTTAAATCTCAAATTAAATATGCCAACTCCAGGTGATTTTATAGGTATTTTTAGCAGTCCCAGCTTCACACCCTTTATCATCATAACCTTGAGTCAAAAGGCAGTATTTCTTTTCTACCTTCAGCAGAGAGGCTTGCATTATGAACCAGTTTCTGAATTAAATCATTAAGGCATAAGTTACTTTGGTCAGAACTGGATCATGTATCTATCCCTCCACAGCCCGGAGGAGAGAAGTTTGGTATAATGGTAGAGGTGTAGGGGGAACATCCTAGGCAGACAAATAATAACTACTACAGAGAAAAAGGGAAGTTTTAAACTTCTAGGAATTAACTTTGAGAACAAAGATGGTGAGTTGATATTCATGTGATATAGAGGCGACAGAGTATATATACAGATTTTCAAATTGGAAGCAAGAGACCTATGTTCTACCTTTGAATTTCCTCCCTTATGATTGCATAATGTTGGCTAAACCTCAGTGTAAAATGTGATGGATTAGGTTATTTCTAAATTTACTTCCAGCTCTTAATATTTTATGTTTATATTCACCACTCATATCTCCAGAGTCTAGAGGAGTGTCTGACATATATATATATAGGTGCTCATTAAATATTTGTTAAATGAACAAAATAATAAAAAAACATTTATAGGACTAAATTAAATGAGACTAGGGAGAAAAGTTATTCAGCCTAACAGGTGGTTATTGGTGATATTTTAGAAGTGGGACCCACCAAATGAACCAGAGTTGATTGTTGAGGTTGTAGGCTATTTATATCTTACTGTCTTTTCTTATTTAGTCAGATATTCTGATGTCAAATGTATGAGTAGCCAGAAAGCAAAAGGAAATTACGCTGTTGCTGTTTTTTCAGCCATATGCAGTCCAGGAGCTCAAAGCAGTTGCGGGTGTGATGATTACGGCATCTCACAACCGCAAGGAAGATAATGGATACAAGGTAAATCTTGAACTCCTGTTCTTTGCCTATTTAAATAATAAGTGCTGAGTATATTTTCTATGCTGAGTAGCAGAGCTAGACATTGGGGACAGGAAGATAAACATTGATGCCAACCCTCAAAGAATGTGTATCCCTAATGGCCCTTATTACTTCCAAACATGTACTATTATTACAAAATTCTCTTCATTGGTCTATTTAATTCTAATATCTTACTGCCCTTGATTTCCACATTCTATCACAAATCCATCCTGTCTTTCATTTTAGAAATATGATACAATATAATTATATTGTATCAAAATGAATTGGAGTTTGCTGGAAGAGAGCCAGAGGACTAGTACCTTGGTGTCACTGTACTCTCCCTCTAACCTTCTACCAGGGCTCCCCATTTGGCCACAGGATCCACTTAATGTGTCAGCTTCCATGACAGAAAACAGGGTGGAGAAGGATGAAGAGTGGCCCTGGAGGGGCCAATAGAAAATACACCGCATGATATTGAGCCAGTGTTTGGGGCTCCTGGGTGATGAGTCCATGATCTTATACTTGCTTTTCTTCCTGTGTGGAAGGTCTTCGGGTACACTGAGTTAGTTCTGTTTTACTGGGGAAAATAATATTTAATAGTAATCTAAGATTTTGGCCCTGGCCAGCTAAGTGGGTAGTATTACTAGTCACAGAGGCAAGGTAGAAGCATGATTAATTCAGTTTTGGATATATTAAGTTTGAGACACTTGGTCATCCAGTTAGCAACATCCTATATGCAGTTAGATTTCTATATAGATCTGTTGCTCAGGGAAGAAATCTGGGCTGAAGTTATAGATATTGAGGTCACCATACATTTTAGAGTATTTAAGTGTATTTGGAAGTTCTTTACTTGGATGAGCATCCCAGAGACAGTATATAGTAGAAAAACAGGTCCAGAAGGGAATCCTACAAAATACTAAATTTAAATGAAGGGAGAAAAAAAAGAAGTGCTGGAGATAGGAGAAAGACCAGAAAAACCAGAGGGATAAGAGAGTTGTAAGGAGGGAAAGAAAGGTCAACTGTCAAGAGAGCTAAGAACCCAGATCTCATCTGAGCATCAGACTCCTGGAAGAGAGCTGCCTACTTGATATCCACTGAGATGTCTAGCAGATTTTCAAAATTAATTTCTACAGGACAGAAGTCTTGATTCCCCCACAACCTACCACATACACATCCAAATGTGTTCCTTTCAATCTTCCCATCTCTGTGAATTGATACTACTACTCCTTCACTCCTAACATTTAATGCACTAACAAGTTCTATACATTCTACATCTAAAATATATATTGAATATGTTTACTTCTACCTCCACCATTCCAAAGCATTATTGTCTTCTGTCTTCCCTTCTTCCATTGATCTGCCCTGCAATCCATTCTTCACCATGTGGCCAGATCTTTTAAATATAAACAGATCATGTTACTTTCCTGCTTTAAATGCTTTAGTGGCTTCTCATTCTTCAAATAAAATCCAAACTCCTTACCTTGGAGTTCAGAGGATTCTGTCTCTGCCTACCTCTTCAACCTTGTTTCATTCATTCCTCTCCTGTGCTCACTACATTCCAGTCTCACTACCTCTTCTCTGTTTCTCTTGTTCCTCCAGTTCTCTGTTTCTCTTGTTCCTCCAGTATACCAAGCCCTTTCCCACCTCTGAGCCTTTGTAATTAATTGTTTTTTCCTCTGCTTGGATTGCTGTTCCCCAAATCTTGCAGACTAGCTTGTTTTCATCCTTCAGCTTCTTGCCTAGATGTTTCTCCCTTGAACAGACCTTCCCTGTTACCTTATCTGAAGTGGCTTCCTTCAGTGACCTTCTGATCTATCTTGTTTATTGCCTTCACAGAATTTACCACTATCTCTAATTATCTGCTTTCTTTTTTTTAATCCTCACCCAAGGATATTTTCCCATTGATTTTCAGATAGAATTGGAGGAACGGAGGGAGAGAAACACTGATGTGAGAGAGACACATCATTTGGTTGCCTCCCACATGACCCCAACCATGGCTGGGGATTGAAACACAACCAAAGTATGTGCCCTTCACAGGAAATGAACCCGAGACTATTTGATCTTCGGGCCAAGGCTCTAACCACTGAGCAAAACCAGCCAGGGCTGCTTTCTTAATAATGAATTATCTTGTTTGTTGACATTTGTTTGACAGTCCCTCTCCCCCATTCCCAGTATAAACTCATGGTGGAAGGACTTAGTCTGTTTTGATATTCATTGCTGTTGAACATATTTGTCCACATAGTAAACCCCCAGAAATTTATTTTTCTTAAAATATAAGCTCAAAGTAAAAAAAAAAAAGATAAACAGCCTGAAAAGTTAACCAATAAAAATGATCACTCCTATCTCTTACCCCCAGTACCCCTTTCAGAAGCAAATACTGTTTCCAATTTTATCTTCCTTCCAGAGATAGTCTGTGCATGTGTAATTATATATGCATTTGTCATTATCTTGCTCTTTTCATACAACAGTATGAAACAGTCTTAGAGATGATAGATAGACAGATAGATAGATAGATAGATAGATAGATAGATAGATAGATAGATAGATAGATAGATCGATCTGCCTCATTAATTTTTAAAAACCAATATAGATGAATCCTAATTTATTTAACTAGTCCTCTATGGATGAATATTCCATTTGTTTCTGATCTGCTACTTATAAACAGTGCTACAATTAATGTTCTACATATATCTTTGTTCATATGTGCAAGTAGATTTATATAGTCAATGTAGAATAGTAGTTAAGAGTATGGTTTGGGTTTGAAACCTGCCTGTATAACTCGGAAGCTTTGTTACCTCAGACAAGTTGCTTAATTTCTCTGTGCTTTAGTTTTCCCATCTGTAAACTGGGGGTGATAATAGAACTAACATCATAGGGTGAGAGTATTAAGGCACATAATGTATGTAAAATACTAGTATAGCGTCTGGCTCTGATAAATGTTAGCAGTAGTTATTATTCCTATCATCTGCAGCTGCACTGTTTAATATGTTAGTCACTAGCCACCCATGGCTATTGAACACTTAAAATATGACTGGTCCAACCTGGCCAGTATGTCTCAGTGATTGAGCATTGACCCATGCACCAAGAGGTCTCCAGTTCGATTCCTAGTCAAGGCCCATGTCCAGGTTGTGGGCTCAATCCCCAATGAGGGGGGGTGAAGGAGGCGGCCAATCAATTGATGTTTCTCTCTCTCTCTCTCAAATAAATAAAAACATATTTAAAAATAAAAATAAATATATATATGTATATGTATAAAACTAGTCTGAATTGAGATATGCTGTAAATGTTAAATACACACCAGATTTTGAAGACAGTGCAAAAAAAGAATGTAAAATATTACAATAATTTTATATTGATTACACATTGAAGTGATAATATTTTGGATTATATTGGGTTATATAAAGTATGTTCAATTTCACCCATTTCTATCTTTTTTAATGTGGCTACTATAAAATTTTAAATTACATAAATGGCTTGCATTTGTGGCTCGCATTATATTTCTATGACATTGCTAACCTATAAGATAAACTTCTAGAAGTGAAACTTCTGAGTCAAAAGGACTATGAAAGAAAATTTGTCATTCTCTACTCAAGATGGTTGTAGCAATTAATACTTTTACCCACAATATATGCAGGTCTTTATCTCACACCTTCCTTTATTGTATTATAAAACCTTTTGATCCTTGCCAATCAGATAGGTGGAAATGTTATGTTTAATTTTCACCTTTCTTATGAATGAAGTTGAGCATCTTTTCATGCATTTACAGATACTTGCTTTCTCTTTTCTGAGAAGTCTTGAAAGGTTTTGCTCATTTTACTCTTGGGTTGTTGCTCTTTTTCTTGTTGATTTTTGGGAACTCCTTATATGTAAAAAGTAGCTCATCTGTTTCACACATACTCCCACCCTTCATATTATTATTTGTCTTTTGATTTTATTTGTGATGGTTTTCCCTGTATGGTTTTATGGTATTTTTCCATTTGGAAAAAAGTTATTTTGGCATCCTTATTCGTGAACAGGATTTATCTTTCCATTCTCTCAAGACTTCTTTTAGAACCTTTATTAACATTTTAAAAATATTTTAATAGATTTTTTACATTTCTTTTAAAGTTTTATTTCTGGGTATATTTTGTTGCATGCATTTTTTTGTTACTATGTCAGGTAGGGATACTTTCTGTTGTGGGTTCAGAAAACCCAGAAAAGTGGTTTAAACTGATAGGAGTCAGTTTTTCTCACATAACAGAAAGTCCAGAGGTAGGTGGCTGCTGGCATGGTTCTGTAGCTTGATGGCGTCAGGCCTAGCATCACTACAGTTTTTTTTCACCTTTCCCTCAAGTGTGGTCATCATGTAATGGTGGTTGTATCTCTTTTTTTTTTTTTTATCCTCACCCGAGGACATTTTTCCGTTCTTTGTTCAGGTAGAGTGGGAGGGAGAGAGAGGAACAGAGAGAGAGAGAGAGAGAGAGAGAGAGAGAGAGAGAGAGAAACATCGATGTGAAAGGGACACATCGAGTGGCTGCCACCCACACGACCAACCAGGGTCGGGGACAAACTGCAACCGAGGTACGCGCCCTTAGCGGGAACCGAACCCGGGTCTCTCAGGACCGCAGGCCGACGCTCTAACCACTGAGCCAAACTGGCCAGGGCTGGTTGTATCTCTAGGCATCATATCCACATACAAGGCAAGAAAAAGTAGGCAGGAAGAAAAGCCAGGATTTTTTTTTATGTTTTATAAATGCTCACAGTGTGCTTTCAGGGCCTATGGATAGAGTCTTTCTTGTGGCTTGGAATATGGGAACATCCCTTCACAGCAGTTTTTGTTTTTTTTTTTAAATTTCTTTAGGAACCTCAGGAGTTTCACTGTCTGGGAGCAATATCTGTGTTAATTTAGACTTCAGATTTGAATTTTTTTAATCACCCAGAATCCCAGAAAAAATAGACATGCTTCCTCATTATCTTTGTATAATAATGGGTAGAACATTTTCTATTCTGTATTTCCCCTGGGGGAGGTGGATTCTCAGTTCCAATTTCCTCCTTTCCACATGGGCAGTACAACTCAAGAACCAGATAAATGGACAATTCCTAAACCCCAGGCAGCTATAGCACCATAGCCGTATCACCCTGGTTCTCAATTCTTTCCTTTATTCCTCACTGCCTGGAGTTCTCCTTTTCTTCTTGTAAACTAAGCTGTGCGTTTTAGATAATATTTTTTCTACTTTATCTAGCATTTTGAGGTGTTTATAGAATGAGAATTCACAGGTCATCTAGTTCATCATCTTGCTTGGCACAGAATTTGTATGTAATACATATTCAAGTGCCTTCTTTCCTTCAGGATGCAATAGAAGGAATTCATGTCAAATACAAGATAGAAGTCAGTATAGATATTCTATAAGTAGAGTCCCCTCTGACTTAAAGAGATCCTGTGAATTACAGAAATACACTTTCTTGCCTTTTTTGTTACCTGTCTCTAATGGCTTGTTGATTAAACTATTTGACAAACCAATAACTTAAGGAAGTGTATTTTCATTAAATACTGAAAATACATATGTATATGTGATAATTAGCATACTGTCTTTCCTGATATATAGACTTTTCTTGGTATGACATAAATTTTACTTTAATTTATAACTGAAAAATAATTTCTTTATCACATAACAGAACCACTTTATAATGCTAAAATTTTATAGTATCAAGTTTTATGGATATTCCATGGTTGCTTAGATTTATCTTAGGTATATAGTTATATAAGAGTGTGATTGGATATAGTTATATAAGAGGATGATTGGATGCTATAGCTTATGCATATTTTAATATTGTCATAATGAGGCCTTAATTTTATTAAACTATACTTCTAAAAGAGAAAAGAATACATGATTAATTTGTTGGAGTCCCTGTGTAATCATTACCATTAATATACTTGGATATTTATTAAGCTAGTATCATACTGACATTTTCTACTTGATTAATTTGATGTGCTTCTTTATAAAGTCAAATATCTCTGCTGTAGCTAAGAAAATTTCTGGCCAACATATCAAGTATTTATAACTATATTTACCTATTATCTAGGTTTATTGGGAAACAGGTGCTCAAATCACATCTCCTCATGATAAAGAAATTCTGAAATGTATAGAAGAATGTGTGGAACCCTGGAATGGTTCCTGGAATGATAATTTAGTGGATACCAGCCCACTGAAGAGAGATCCTCTGCAGGACATTTGTAGGAGATATATGGAAGATCTGAAAAAGATCTGTTTTCACAGGTATCCAAGTGGGAATATAGGATAGTATTATCTTAGAATAGGATGAACAAATAAGGGAAAGAAATAGTGATAAAATGTGTTGGTTGTTTATTATATTTAAACTTGTAGCTGAATAGTACTGTTCATAGTGCCAAATAGTGGAAGTAACCTAAATATTTATCAACTGATGAAGAGATAAATAAAATGTGGTATATCCATGCAATGAAATATTATCCAGCAGTAAAAGGAAATGAAATATTGATGTGTACTGCAGCATGGATAAGCCTTGAAAACATCCTAAGTGAAAAAAGCCAGTCACCAAGGACCACATATTGTATAATTCTATATATCTGAAATGTCCAGAGTAGGCAAATTTGTAGAAACATGAACAGGAAAATACATTAGTGATTACCTGTAGCTGGGAGGAGTGGAAGGGTTAGGGAGTGGCAGCTATGGGGTATGGAGTTTCTTTTTGGAATAATGAGAATCTTCTAAAATTGATTATGATAATTATTGAAAAACTTTGAATATAGTGAAAGCCATTGAATTTTACACATTAAATGGTTGCATTGTATAGGATATTAATTTCCTCTCAAAAGCTGTTAAAAAAGTATATCTAAATATTTGTATTCCTTCTATATAAGATCAGAAAATTTTCTCTAAAAATTTACTTTTTCTTTTCTATTTTCATGACTATTTCATAAATAGCTAACATCATTGCTAGAAAGCATCCTGGCTTGCTGAGTATATTTTCCCTATCCTATAAAACAGATTTTAGCTTTCTCTCTAGCTTGTTTTAATTATATTGCAAGTAACAATTGATTGAATGATAATTTTCCTTTACAGGGAATTAAACTCAAAGACCACATTGAAATTTGTACATACATCTTTTCATGGGGTCGGACATGACTATGTGCAGTTGGCTTTTCAAGTGTTTGGTTTTAAGCCTCCAATTCCAGTACCAGAACAAAAAGATCCTGATCCAGATTTTTCTACCGTTAAATGCCCAAACCCTGAAGAGGGAGAATCTGTGCTGGTATTCTTCTCCTATATTTAAATTACTATTAATGTAGTAAACTTTATCAAATAGATGGAACTCATTGACATTTCAAAGATTACTTACAAAAGCAGAAACCACTTTAGTTTATGTCTTAAATTATATTGTAGCCATATATTCTGTTTTGTTTGAAATCTTTATGGTATATATCTCTACTTCTAGGCTTATTTTAAATTTAGCTGAACTATATTCCTTTTAAAATTCATATCATTAATATAGTGCCTACATTTAGGAATATTACTATTGAATTTAACATCTTAAATACAATCCAGCTTTTTGGGTCACTGTTTCAGGAACTTTCTTTGAGACTGGCAGAGAAAGAAAATGCCCGCATAGTGGTAGCCACAGATCCTGATGCAGACCGACTGGCAGTGGCAGAACTTCAAGAGAAGTCAGTAGAACCTGTTATTTGATTAAAAGCTTACATTTTGAAAAACAATTTTTTATTTTAAGTCTTACAGACTTGTTGGAAATAATTTTAAAAATAAGAAAATAAATCTTCTGTAAGCCTGCTATTTAGGGATAACCACTTAGATTGATATATTAACATTCCTTTCAATGTTTTTTTCTACTCAAATATTTAAGGTATATTTGTTTTTACAAAATTGTGATCATACTGTACAGTATGGGGCAAAAGTAGGTTTACAATTGTGAGTACATGAAACAGTGTTTCTTATTATGTATTATTTTCTTTATTTTTTCCAGTTTTTCTTATGTATTATTTTCCATACAGACAGCTGTAAACTGACTTTTACCCCACCCTGTATATAATTTTGTATCATTATATTCCACTTAAGATCATACTGTGATCCATTTTTCCCGTCCTTAATTAATGTTTAAAATATTAACTTTTAAAATGGCATAATATCACAATAGATTGCTTATCAATGTGATCATTTCCTAATCTTGATCCTTTTAGTTACTGTGTATTTTTGCCATTATAATGTTGTGATAACTGTCTTTACATAGAAAGGACATATTAACTTTCTTCTCATTAAGTAGGATAATAAAAGTAATAATTTTTCAAAAGACATTGCTACCATTTCTACCCTAAGCTCACCCCTGGTCAGTCAGAAAAGTAGTAAATGTTTTCTCAATAATTCCATACAATAGTTTTGGGTTTTTCCTATGTGAAGGTTGACAATTTGTAGGTTTGGGGGTCAAGAAGTTTTAATGAGAGGTTATAACGTTCTTGACTTGAATTTTTACTCTTTCTGCAGTGGTCACTGGAAAGTTTTTACAGGGAATGAGTTGGCGGCTCTGTTTGGGTGGTGGATGTTTGATTGCTGGAAGAAAAGTAAATCGGGCAATGCTGATGTGAAGAACATTTATATGTTAGCCACCACAGTCTCCTCCAAAATTCTGAAGGCAATTGCACTTAAAGAAGGATTTCATTTTGAAGTAAGAATACATAATATCTGTGCTATTTTTCTAAACCTATTTCTATAAATTAAAGCCATCTCCCCACCAAAACTGACTTTTATTAACTTCATTTATAATTTCTACTTTTTTCTAATTTTGTTAATACTTAATCTTTTTTGATAGTTTAGACACGAGCCAAATTTGTCCAGTGTGAGAATTTCTGAAACTAAGATAAGATGTTCTTTAAAAATAGCACTAATGCTTATTATTCCATACAACAATATCTAGTTTCCATACTGAGAAAATCTGGCTCCTGACCTTACCAGTAACATAAACTCCATTCCAAAAAATTATAGGTGTCCTTGTTTAAGGTCTTCAAGTTCAGTCTTAAGAAACCTTAAGTAGTCTTCTAAATTGCAAATTAAGATCCAGTGAAAAACAAACAAACAAATGGTGCCTCTCAACACAGATCACTAACCTTTGTGAGCCTCAGGCAGTTAAGCTGACCATTTTTACAACTACATACTGGGACTAACATCAATGAAGTTGCTTTTCCTCTGCCATCTTTGGCAAGTATCAGTGAAAATGTCACAGTCATGCTACAGGTCTTAACATCAACTGGCTGAATAAAAGAAAATTGTACTTGTCTTAATGAAATAGAGTTTTCAACCTCAGGCTTTTAAGAATACAAATAGCAAAATAGAAGAAATTGAAAATTGATTTAAGCTTAAAATTCTGAATTGCAGTAACGTTAACATTTGTATCATTTTTTTTTTTATGGCAAGAAAAATATATAATGAGCACAAAAGAGAAAAAAACAAACAGTTCTAAAAACCAATATTATACATTTGCTTCCTTGTTTTTATTGTTGACAGTAGGGGTAGCATATGGTTTTGGCTTTTATTTTATTTTCCATTAAGGAGGTAGAGAGGTGAATTAGGAATCTTAAGTTAGTAGTGGTGAGCTCTAGAGTCAGTGTGTATCACATGCTCTTTCTGTTGACTCTAAAACAGTTCATGTCTATAAAGGGAACAATAGCTCACCAGATGTAAAGTCCTCAAACTTAATTACCAAAGAAGGGCTTGGTGTTATGGTAAAGAACACTTGGTTCAGGCATTTGAAAGTGCATCATTAAAAAGCTTTATGGCCTTTGATTATTCAAGGGGACTAAATCACAACCTGCATAAGTACTTTTATATTAGTGCTTTCTTTTTTTTTAAATCCTCACCCAAGGATATTTTTCTATTTATCTTCAGATAGAGCGGGAGGGAGAGGGAGAGAAACAGAGAGAGAGAGAGAGAGAGAAACATCAATGTGAGACGGACAAATATACTGGTTGCCTCCCACAGGATCCTGACAAGGGCCCTGGGTGAACCGCAACCGAGGTATGTGCCCTTGATCAGAATCAAACCAGAAACTATTTGGTCCTCAGGCTGATGCTTTAACCACTGAGCCAAACCAGCCAGGGCTAACTTAGTGTTTTTAATATAGCGTAAAGGACAGTTTCTGAAAAGCAGTGCAATTGAATCCTACCTCCATCTATTATATGCAGCATAATCTTGGGCAAATTTACTGAAGCTCTAAGCCTGTTTCAGCAACAGTTTTTGTGAGCATTAAAAAAAAATAATGATGTAAAGCACTTGGTACACTGTTTGATAAATAGTAGATGGTCATAATATGTTACTTTGTGACTATATGCATCACTAGTTGTAAGTATTGGATTATATTTGGTGTAAATCACCTATTAATGTACTTGATCAATTGTAGGTCATCAGTTGTGGCAGTGCGTGTATCCGTGAACTTTATGACTATATGTTTACCACCATGTAAATCTTTGTGGACCAAAACCCATAATAGAAGATCATTATGAGAGTGCCATGTAGTGCATTTAGTAACAGGCTTTTCTCTAAAATGTATTATGAGAGTCACTTAACAAGAGTGGCCTCCTCTGCATTTCAGGAAACATTACCAGGTTTTAAATGGATTGGAAGTAGAATAAAAGACCTCCTGGAAAATGGGAAAGAAGTCCTTTTTGCATTTGAAGAGTCTATTGGTATGTAGTAAATATTAAAATCTTTGTAATTTGAATGAGGGCATTTTTTAAATGTAGCAATTCTATAGAGAAGAAATTTTTGTCTTCTGGTTTTATATTCTGAGTTGTGGTAAAAACCACAGAGCATTCAGAAGTGTGTAGATACATTTCTCGTCAAGGAAAAAAAAAAAAGAGATAGAGACCCTTAAAGGTCCCCTAAATGCCTTCATTATCAGTGAGCTTCATTCATTACTAGGCTTTAAATTCATTGGTCCTTTTGAAGAAATGTAAAACTACTGAAATTATTACAGGCTTAAGTTTTCCTCTTTTTAAAAAAAAATTTTTTTTAATTCTCAGGTTTTCTGTGTGGAACTTCAGTTTTGGATAAAGATGGGGTGAGTGCAGCTGTTGTAGTTGCTGAGATGGCATCTTACCTGGAAACCATGAATATAACATTGAAACAGCAACTGATTAAGGTTTATGAAAAGTAAGTCCGACTATTTTGAATTTCACATGTGAAATATTTTTTTGTCCTACTTCCAGTTAAATTTTTTTTCAAGTTATAGTCAGTCCTTTTTAAAAAGTACTGAAACTGTTTGAATTAAGGACTGCCACTTTCTACATAATACTATCATTAGTTTATCCTTGACATATACTTTTCTAAAGAGTTATCTGAAATTTTATTTTAACCCTTTACCTTTTTGTGCAGGTATGGTTATCATATTTCAAAAACTTCATATTTCTTATGTTACGATCCAAATACCATCAAAAGTATATTTGAAAGGCTTCGCAATTTTGATTCTCCAAAAGAATATCCAAAATTTTGTGGGACATTTGCTATATTGCATATACGGGACGTTACCACTGGCTATGATAGCAGCCAGCCTAATAAGAAATCAGTAAGTACCATTTTAAAAAAGTTTTAACAGCTTGTAATAATTCATACTATGGTGAAGTAGAGGAAGTTCAAGCCTATTAGTGTCTTGAAACTAGGATCCATTGTTTTTCTCCATAGCTGTTATAAATCTACTAACTGGCTCTCTGACTCTGACCCTGTCTTAACACTCCCCAAGAGCATGCCACCCTTTGGAGGTGGAGAGTTAAGAACAAGAATGAGAAAGGCAGACAGAAAGACAAAGGGAAAGAGGGAGGGAGAATGTATAAGGATGCTAAATAAATAATATTAAAAATAAAGTCTATAAGCCTATAATTTCAAAGCTATTTATCTTTTTAGTTGTAGCCTCCCTTTTCTAACTTTATTCCTTACACCTCCAGCCAAATAGAACAATTTATAGTTTTTTACATATATACTTTTTTTTAATTTCTCTAGTTTTGCTCAAGCTATTTCCTCAGTCTACCTTTTCTTCCTCCTACTATTGCAGGTCCACACCTTAGCCATTATTCAAGACTTAAGGCAAATGTCACCTCCTTCACATATCCTTGAGGTCCTATAAGCAAATATTTCTCCCAAGGTTTTATTACGTATTGTGCCTTTCTCATGTCATTCATCACTTTCTGTCTTACGCTATCTGTGTTGTACATGGCAGATCCTTTTTTGATATACCTTTATGCCTCTCAAAGGTCCTGTCTACATGATAAGTGCTCAACAAATGTTTGTTTGTTTTTTTGTTTGTTTGTTTGTTTGTTTGTGTACATGCTCCTAGCAGGAACCGAACCCGAGACTCTCTGGTCCGCAGGCCGATGCTCCAACCACTGAGCCAAACTGGCCAGGGCTCAACAAATATTTAAATGCCTCAGTATGCTGATCATATTTATTGTTGTTATTATTAGCCTAAATTTTCATTTATAATGCTCTGATGTTGACTCAGGGGCATGATATATTTGGTGAAATCTATAGCCTCTTATGGAGAATACTACCCACATTCCCTTTGTGTATGTACATCTAGTCAACAAATATTGGTTCCCACTCACTGGTATTCTATGAGTGTGCATGTGTGTGTGTATCTATTTTTGTGTCTTATAAACTACTTAAAAGAACCAAATTTTTGCTTTTTTATTTTTCTATTGTTGCTGTGCTTAGTCTTGTGTTATGCCGTTTTTCCTCTTAACTCCCTTTAAAATGTATATTTGTTACTCAAAAAGCCTTTCTATCTGTTCTTCACTGATGCTTATGACAATTTTGTAAGTCAGACAGTATACATGTACTTAATCCCCTAAGGTTACAAAGTAAATGTCGAAGACTGCCTGAGTTCTTTCTTCTCCACACTTCAGATTGACATTCATCTGTGTGTTCAACAGGCATTTATCAAAACCCTTCTGTTCTACGGTCACAGGCACACTGGGGATACAGCAATGACAAAGGCACTGTTTCTTAGAGACCAATGGGGAAAGGAATAAGCAAACAGTGATTACTTTACAAAATGATAAGTGCTACCAGGGGGTACATAGGGTGCCATGGAAGAGCATAAGATGGGCCCTTACTCAGATTCGGGGGAGCTATGGAAGACTTTCTGGAGACCTTCTATGAGCTGAGTTCTAGAGTAGGAGTTTTCCAAATGTGGAAGGAACAGATGGTGTTTCAGGCAAAGGGAGCAGCAAGTGCCGGTCTAGAGGTGAGAAGGCACGTTGGAGTGTCATCCTGTACACCAAAAGGTTACAGGTTTGATTTACGGTCAGGGTACATACCTAGGTTGTGGGTTCAATCCCACAATTTTCACTATCGAGAGGCAACCCAAAAATGTTTCTCCCCCTCTCTCTTTCTCTCCCCCTCCCCCTTTCACTTCTCCTCCCTTTTCCCTCTCTCTAAAATTGATAAAAACATATCCTCAGGTAAGGGTTGAAAACAAACCATAGCAGTTCTCTATAGTGTGGGATACAAAGAAGAAAGGCATGCGTGATGGTATGGTGGGTGGGTTAGAGAGGGGCAAACTTCCAGGCGGAAGATCAGTATGCTGTTTCATAACTGAGATGAGAGATAATGGGAGCTGGTACTTAATATAGTAGCAGTAGTGATAGTGAAAATTGGACAAAGTTGAGTTAAACAAAGGATAGAATAGCCAGGACTGAGTGAAAAAGGGGGGAGGAAGGTCTCTGTCTTAAGCAACTAGTATAGGGTTAGTAGCACTGAGCAAGAGAGAGATCTCAAGGAGAGTACCAGGCTCAGGACACCTGAGGAAAGACACCACTGTCAACCTTGTCCTAGTACAATTCCCACAGTTCCCTTGAGATGCCTTCACAGATGATCTGTGGTCTAGGAAGAGTACCAGTGTTAATCAATATAAGTACTGTCCGTAAAACTTTGTTTTTTGTTTTTAATTTTTAGGTAAAAAAATATTTTTAAAAATTTTACAACCCAATTATTTTGCCTGTCCTACAGAATATGTGCACTCTGTTTTGGTGGTTATTAATAAACTGTGAAAGTACTTTATTTATTTTTAAAATATATACACATATATTTTTTCTTTTTATTGATTTTTTTTTTTATAGAGAGAGAAAGAAAGAAAGAAAAAGAGAAACATCGATGAGCCCAGCCGGTGTGGCTTAGTGGTTGAATGTTGACTCACGTACCAAGAGCTCGCTGGTTTGATTCCGGGTCAGGGCACATGCCCAGGTTGTGGGCCTGACCCCCAGTGGGGGGTGTGCAGGAGGTGGCCAATCGATGTTCTCTCTCATTGATGTTTCTATCTCTCTCTCTCCCTCTCCCTTCCTCTCTCTCTAATATCAATAACAATAACAACCAAAAAAAAACATCGATAAGAGAGAACGTCGATTGGCTGCTTCCTGCATGCCCCCCACTGGGGACTGGGCCCACAATCAGGGCATGTGCCCTGACCAGGAATCAAACCCGTAACCTCTTGGTTTATGGGTTGACACTCAACCCTGAGCCACACCGGCTGGGCTGTGGAAGTACCTTAAAATTATAAAGCATTTTGCAAATGTAGAGGTAGTTTAGACTTTGATACAGATAGACCTGGCTTCAACTTCTTGCTCTGTCACTTAGCTGATGACCTTGAGCAGGTTGTTTATTCTCTTTGAGCCTTGCCCATAAATTAGCAGTAATACTTACTTTGCAGGATTATTGTTGAGGCCCAGAGGTCATGTATGTAAGGTATATAACCCAATGCCTGTACTATTATAAATACTCAGTAAATGGTATATTTGTAAATTATGTGTGTAATCTTCTTAGTATTATAATTCTTTTTTTTTTTTTAATCCTCACCCAAGGACATTTTTCTATTTTTTTGTTCAGATAGAGTGGGAGGGAGAGAGAGGAGGAGAGAGAAACATCCATGTGAAAGGGACACATCGAGTGGCAGCCACCCGCATGACCCAACCAGGGCCAGGGACAAACTGCAACCAAGGTACCTGCCCCTAGCGGGAACTGAACCCAGGTCTCTCTGAACCACAGGCCGGTGCTCTAACCACTGAGAAAACCGGCCAGGGCCTGAGTATTATAATATTTTAGCCCTGGCTGGTTTGGCTCAGCAGTTAGAGCATCGGCCCATGGACTGAAGAGTCGCAGGTTCGATTCCGGTCAAGGGCATGTACCTTGGTTGTGGTTTGGTCCCCAGCCCTGGTCTTGTCTTGTGGGAAGCAACCAGTCAGTGTCTCTCTCTCACATTGATCTCCCCCCCCCCCCCGCCCTTTCCCTCCCTCCCACACTATCCAAAGAAAAATATCCTCAGTTGAGGATTAAAAAATATTATTTTTAACTATGGTAAACAATTAAAAACAAAATACAAAATTTACCAACTTAACCATATTTAAGCATACAATCAGCAGTTAACACTGCGTAGTTAACAGCAGTGTTAACTATGTTCATATTGTGCAGATCTCCAGAACTTTATCTTGCTAAACTGAACTCCATACCCATGAAACAGCTCCTCATTGGTCCCTTTCCCAGCCCTTGACAACCACCCTTCTACTTTCTATTCCTATGAATTTGGCTACTTTAGATACCTCATATAAGTGGAATATATTTTACAACTCTGAAAGTGAAAAAGTTACCAAGTGTAATTAAGCTGTTGTTACAATTGTGCATAGGTGCTGCCTGTGAGTAAAAACAGCCAGATGATCACATTTACTTTTCAAAATGGCTGTGTTGCTACTCTTCGGACTAGTGGGACAGAACCAAAGATAAAGTATTATGCAGAGATGTGCGCGTCACCTGACCAGAGGTGAGAATTGACTTTTTAAATATATATGTAAAAGTTTTATTGAGATATAATTTACATACCAAAGAGTTTACCCATTGAAGTGTTAATTCAATAGTTTTTAGTCCATTCAAAGTTGTTCAAACATCACTGCAATCAATTTTAGGACATTTTCATCACCCCAAAAGGAAACCCATATGCATTAGCAGTCACTTCCCATTTCCCTCCCTCCCAGCCCTAGGCAACCACCAATCTATTATCTACCATTTTAGATTTGCTGCTTATTCTGAACATTTTATAGACATGGAATTATACAGTTTGTGGTCCTTTGTGACTGGCATCTTTTACTTAGAATAATGTTTTCAAGGTTCACCCATGTTGTAGCATGAATCAATACTTTGTTCCTTTTTATTTTTAAATTGTTTTTACAGTCCAATAATATTCCATTGTATAGATATACCACATTTTTTATTCATTTATCAGATGACGGACATTTGGGTTATTTCCACATTTGAGCTATTATGATTAATGGTGGTAGAAGCATTTCTCTACAAGTTTTTATGCAGATATATGTTTTTATTTCTCTTGGGTATGTATCTAGGGACAGAATTGCTGGGTCATATGGTTGTTCTATATTTAACCTTTTGAGGAACTGCCAATTTTCCAAAGCAGCTGTACCATTTGGGAATTGAATTTTAAAATTTTGATGAATTTATATTCCTAGAGAGGCTCTCTTAGCTTTAATGATAAACATAAAGAAATGATCAAATAATTTGTTTATTGCCAAATATTCATTTTCTACATCTAACATGATTTGACTTAATCTGCCCAATTTATTGCCTTTTAAGAGTATGTGAATAGCCCTGGCCGGTTTGGCTCAGCGGATAGAGCGTCGGCCTGCGATCCAGAGACCCGGGTTTGGTTCCCGCTAAGGGCACGTACCTCGGTTGCAGTTTGTCCCTGGCCCTGGTTGGTCATGCGGGTGGCAGCCACTCGATATGTCCCTTTCGCATTGATGTTTCTCTCTCTCTCTCTCTCTCTTCCTCTCTCTCCCTCCCCACTCTATCTGAACAAAAAATGAAAAAATGTCCTCACCGAGGATAAAGAAAAAAAGAGTATGTGAATAAATTACTTTAATAAACATATTCAAAGGTTATTTAAACTTATTAAAAGTAGTACCTCCTATACTCTTGTCATTGATCAATATACTTTTGGGAAGATTTTTTTTTGGAATTGCCTCCAAGGTACATTATCTTGTATTTCCCTAAATTTTTGCATGTCCTATACGAGTAGGGGAGCAAAGTTTAAAGTAAACCAAATTGGTAATGCTATCTTTGGATAAAAATGAGGGATGATTATTAAAGTAACAAAAATTGATTTGTTGAGTGGCATACAAAATAACTGAAGGCAGTTTAAAAGAGGTTTTTCTGGAAATGTTTTGGGCAGTAGCAGCTCTTCAGGTGATGACTTTGAAGGGCATACTTGTAAGTGTACATTTATTTTTAAAACATTTTATTCTTTTAGTGACACATCCCTCTGCTACCTGAAAGACATGCCATATCATCCCATAATATCTGTACAGGGTATTCCTCAAAGTATTTTAGGAAGCTGTTTTCTCTTAATACCTGGTATTGATGTTCTAAGCTATTAAATCACCTTAGCCAGGAGAAATCTTTAAATATACTATGACTCATTCATGCATCATTCACCAAGGATCTCCTCTTATGCAATTCAACTTCAGTTTGTGATATTTCTTTGGATGTGATTCCTCCCAGCCCCCTCAGGTCTTAATTTGTTTTGTTTTAACTGAGTGAATTTATCTTTCGTTTACCAATTGTTTATTGGTTTGTTTTTGTTTGTTTGTTTTTAATCCTCACCTGAGGACATTTTTTCATATTTTGTTCAGATAGAGTGGGAGGGAGGGAGGGGGAGAGAGAGAGAGAGAGAGAGAGAGAGAGAGAGAAACATCAACGTGAAAGGGACGCATCGAGTGGTTGCCACCCGCACAACCCCACCAGGGCCAGGGACAAACTGCAACTGAGGTACGTGCCCTTAGTGGGAACCGAACCAGGGTCTCTCTAGACCGCAGGCCGACGCTCTAACCGCTGAGCCAAACCAGCCAAGGTTGTTTACCAATTGTTTAATCATTCCATCAGGTATATGCCTTCTTAAAAAGCTATAACAATTAAAAGTTTAAGGCTACGAAAATCAATAATTTTAAAACTAAATCTTTTTCCTCAGTGACACTGCCTTACTAGAAGAGGAATTGAAGAAACTCATTGAAGCTTTGATTGAGAATTTTCTTGAGCCCAATAAAAATGGACTGATCTGGCGTTCTGTTTAGTGGATGTTGGCGCATCATTATTTTGCACCGGCATACGAAACAGGACAACCAAGAACTCCATGCATTGAACTCATGTTAGCATTCTCTCTATCTCATCTGGCCAAGTGTTTTTCTTATCTTTTTTGTTGGCTGACTAAACAAACTGTATAACTTTTAAATGAAATGGTCTGGAGAAAAATGATGCAAATTTTTTCATAATCTTGAACAAAAGTCATTACGTTAAAAGTATTATAGTAACACGTCATTCTTCGTGTCTTTAACAAAAACAAAACAGTGCAAAAGTGAATTTTCTTATTGAAGTGTGATTAAGTAAGCTTAATTCCATATTCTTGTAATTGCGTATAGCATGGGTTTTTTTAATAGACAGATAAATGTTGTATAATTGTAGAGTTACTTAAGGAAACTATTTCATAAAATTTATAAGAAAATAGTACTACTCAGAATACTGTGGAAAAGTGTCATTGTTACATCATAGGTATTGACTTAGGGTATTTAGCATTTCTAGCTTAGAACAGATGTTACAAATGTGGTGTCCTGCTCTTCTGTCTCAGGTGCTGTTGGTGCAGTATAAACGTATTGTATGTATTTAAAATTCCAACACTTACTGAACATAAAACAATAGTGGCAACATTCCTAGAAGCTTTGTTCTTGTCAAATTTCTCAGTGCCTTCTCAGGGTATGGTATGAATTGAAACAGTGTTCCTGCATTGAAGATAATTTAATCAGTTAATTTTCAGATAGTTAAGGAAAATCTTCCAAACTATATAGGTGCTTTCCCTCTATATTAAATAGGTTTGCTGACTTTAAAGTCTTATGAATGTATATAAAATCTTAATAAAAGCAGGCTCAATGTAACTGTAGTTAAGTATCTTCATGTTAGAATTAAGTGTCAGTTATCACAGCATTTGAATAAAGAAAAAAGTCTGAACTGAGAAAGGAATTCTGAATTTGTTTAAAAGTCTAACTTTTGAATTACGTATTTATAAGTAGATTTATTCCTTTATCAGTTGAAGTATGCTAATTTTACTAAGAAATAAAACATTCATATTTTAAATATTATGAAACACTAAAACTACGTGTTTTAAAACAAAAGTCCAGTCTTGCTGGCTTCTATAGAATTTCTGATCACAAGAGTAACTATTTTTTCTAATGTGGAAAAAGAAATGGAAGGTCACTGATTGATTCTGCAGTCTTCTAAAAAGACAATGGAGAAGCTCTGTTTAATCTTTTTAAAGTGTATCCTGTCGTATGTAACTCACAGACTACTTAAACACATGTGGTATAGTTAAGAGGTAGCAAAAACAAGATCTTTGGTGTAATTGTCTGAACAAAGTGTCTATGGAAGATACCTATTATTAGAGAATTTATTTCCTAAAAAAATGATGATATAAAATTTGAACTGATTAGAATATTTATTAAATCATGGTTTGATTTGTTGTAGCTATTGACTAACATTTGGTTGAACTCATATAATCCAAATATAATTTTCAAATTATTATATTGCCACTATTGTTAATTTGTTCCTTTCTTAGTTTCTTATAGCTAGATCTTCTATGACTATAGGTAATAGACAGCTAGCTAAATGTCGGGCACTATATTTCTAAATGAGTTTGTTTTCAAAGGCTTTGCACTGAACAAGAAATGTATAGTATTTTTTGCTTTATGTGCTTTTAGGAATGTAGACTGTAATTTAGGAAATGGCCTATGTTCTACAAAGTGGTATGAGCAATGCTATATGTATGGAAAATATGTATATTTGGTTTCAGTGTCAGTTTTTCATTGACTGAAGAACAAAGTGAAGCTAAAATGATACAATAGCCCATTTATAATCCCTAAAGCCATGTTATGATTGTCATTCATTGTAAAGAAAACAGTTTTATTTGAGTGCTTTAATATAATGCAACATTTAAGTCATCTTAAGGTGAAAAGTTATTAAAGCTTGGGTTCTTACCTCAAAAATTTTAAATCCAAAGTTAAAATTAACTCAATTTTACAGGTATTCCCAAAGTGTATAGATTGAGAGAATTATTTGATTCTAGCTAAACTCTTGTCTGTTTGTGATATTTAACGTGAACTTGACAATGGGGGTGTACACTTGCCTAACAGGATAAATTCAGTAGCTCAAGCCAACCCGGACAGACAGAGAAGTGCTGGCCCGTAGGTCTCAGCCTTGGGCTCTGCACTGTTTATCCTTTGCTTTATAAACAATATTGTGGAAATGAATGCCTTCTCACTGAGTGTGCAGATCAAAACTGAGATTTTCTAGAGCCCCAGGGAAAAGGAAAGAACTAGTGGGGCAAGACTAAAGCATAGGTTGGAAATAAACAGTAGAAATAAGCAAACAATAGAAAGGTGGCACAGGAAATGCTTTCTGTCAAGGGCAAATTTATCACCCTAGAAACAGGGAATAAACTGTGGGCAAGTTGTTTACTTGTGTCTATTTGTTGTGATGATGAGCGAATAGTGAACCTTTTGTTTTCTTTTATTAGTGACCACTAAAGAGGCCAAGTTTTAAGGCACGAGAAAAAGTACCCCTCTTACTGAGTCAGTTTCTGAGAGGAGGATGTCTTGTATGGGAACTGGGGAGCAGATATAGCAGACATAAAAAGGAATACAATATATACTGGAAAATAAGACCTCTGAGACAAAGTAAAAAAATTAAGATCATTTAACTCCGGAGAGGAGAATGCCGTTGAGAGAGCTTAATAAATCTTAAGTTCTTGAGTTTTTTATTGAACGACTTAAACTGAGAAGTAATATGCCCCAGCGAGGATAAAATAGGAGGGAATAAGGAGCTTTAAGGGGGAAAAAAGGCAACATGAATAGATTGTTAAGATTTTAAAACTTGGGCAGGGATCATGAAGCATTCTATGATTTTTATTTTTATTTTTAAGAGAATAAAAATTTTAAATATTAAAGGATATACTATATGGCTTTTACAGGTTCCTTCAAAACCTTTTTTATTTATTTTTTAACTCAGGTTAGAACAAAAATGTCATAAAGAGCACTGAAAGTAACATTTTAATTTCACTCCATATCTATAAGAATGTAGCTCACAACATGGTTTTTTACATGTCGAGTAGTAGTAGATGTATGAGTGCAGTGAGTAAAGACCTGCTTAGATGTTTTTTGGGTTTTTTTAATCCTCACTTGAGGATATTTTTCTATTTATCTTCAGATAGAGTGAGAGACAGGGAGAGAGAGAGAGAGAGAGAGAGACATCGACTGGTTGCCTCCTGCACGACCCCCATCAGGGTCAGGGACTGAACCCAAGACTTCGGTCCACGGGCCGATGCTCTAACTGCTGAGTCAAACCGGCGATAGATGCTTAGATGTTATTTTTAATTTAATCTGGCAAATTACATGGGACTAGAACACAGTTTTGTTCATCTTGAAGAATGTATAGCATTACAAGAAATTTGAGGGTTTTGTTTTAAGTTTAGAGTAGAGTATTGTTATTTGGATGTAGTAACTTCAGCAGAGAGTTTCTAAGAGATTAGATACTTTGGAATATCTTTATATAGGAAATAGAACTTCTGTTTCTTAAACAGATTGCTTCTGGAATTGATGAAACAAAGATATTAGCTGGAGTTTAATGGAGAAATGATTCTATGAGTTGCTGCTATTGGTATTTCTTTCAGATCTTTTCCATGGTTGTTCATGATTTATTGAAAAATCCAAACTCTGCCTGGATAAATTTAATTTTATGTCTTTTTTTCTCTACCTCCCTCTTTTCCCTAGGTGCCCTCCCACATTTTGTTACTGTGAAATGCTATTGCACTATTACCTCACTGATAAGACATCCCTTAGAATATTTTAAATTTATTCATAAACTAAGTTGGTTTATGGACTTTTGGGTGAGAATAACACATTGTAAGAAGTAATTTTAAATCTATTTTATAACTTTCTGTGGTCTATCTGGACACTATATGTTAAATCATTATGGCCTTTTACAATTCCCTTCTTTTCTGATATTGCTTTATAAACTGATGAAGAAAGAGTCATACTAACCAAAATGAATGATCTAGCATTTTATTTTCAGTTTCCTTGTACTGCAGGCATTCAAAGTACAAAATTTCAGGAAATATATTTTTTTTTTATATTTGTGCCTCAAAGCATCTCACCATAAGCCATAAGGAGTCTAAGTAGAAAGAAGAGAATCTTTCATTATCTCAGTACAGAGCATGACTTTAGTTCTAGTTGGAAACAAAGTTAGTGTTGACCATTGGTTACTTTAAAATATTCATCATACTGTTATATTCATTAAGCCATCTTTTCTCTTTATCAATTAAAGACTATGTATTTTAAAAAGAGAACATATAAGAACGAGTAAAGTGACCAAGATAAGGGCAAAGTGACATAGCTAAAATTTGCTTCTCAAATTTTTCCACCAGCATAACCCTAAAGCAGAATGTATAGGAAAAAGGGGCCTAAGAGCAAAATCAGAAGCAGCCTACCACTCATGAAATTTCATGTTCTGTCTCAAAACTGTAGGTGAATTTTGCATTCTCCATAATAAAAGTGTGTTGGTATGTTGATATAAAAATGATCCCTTCAATCTTCACCAAAACTGGTGCTGCTAGAGAGAAGCACCATATTTATCATGTGGCCTCTCAGTTTTCCCCCTGAAAACCCCCTTCAATTGCTGCATATCCCTGGGCTTACACACACTGACTCTAGTGTGAGAAGTATAAATATAGAACATATATAGGATCTTCCTCACCCTTTAGTAGCTGACCTTTGAAAGTAAACTGACCTGAAACAGCTATGAACCTTATAAGAGATATTGGCCAGTTTGTTCTCTTTAATTTGTTGGCATTCCTTGACTAAGATCCCTTTGACTATCAGCTCTCTTTGTTACTTTTCTTATCCACACCACCTAGTATAGTACCTGTTATAGAGTGCTTAATTGGCGATAGTAGTTAAGGGATTTTATTTTAAAGAAGCAAATAATTTAAGAAACAATAAAAATATTAATTTTTTAATTTAGCTCTTAGAACAGTTCTCATTACTGAAATTTTTAATAAGTAATGTTTATTGAGCATCCACACCCTTAAATACTCAGTTTCTTTGGAGAAAGCAGAACATAATCCTATTTGAAAATTGTATATAACACCTAGTATTTTACATTTAAAGCAAGGTATTGGCCAAGAAGACTAAGAAAGTGTCTATGTAGACTTACTATTTACTGAAACAAGTGCCATTTTGAGCCCATTAATGCTACCTTCCAAGTGAATCACAACTAATTTGATACTATTTGGTATATTTTTGTTTAATGTTATGATTCAGTATATATCTTACAAAAGCCACTCCAGAGTCTGCATCTCTAAATGGTAAGGTCTTCTTGTTA